CAAACGATAATTTACAAGGCGTACTTAGCACGGTGCATAGGCAATTGGCTGAGTCAGTGGGATCGTCGGTTCCAATCCTACTGAAAGAGGTCTGATGAGGAAATGTGGTGATGGATGGTGTGGAGGCATAACAAAAATAAAAATAGTGGAAAAAAAGCAAACGATAATTTACAAGGCGTACTTAGCACGGTGCATAGGCAACTGGCTGAGTCAGTGGGATCGTCGGTTCGAATCCTACTGAAAGAAGTCTGATGAGGAAATGTGGTGATTTCCGAAATAGCTATCACTTCTACCATTTTTTCAAATTATTGTTGCTTTTCCACAAAAAAAATTTTCATTTAAAACGGCCTCGAGCTCAATATAAATTGTTGAATATAATTGTTTAAAAGGCCAAAAAAATAACAAAAACAAATAACTTAAGGACGAGCACACCTAAAAGTTAAACATTCTAAAAATAGAATTATTAGCAAAAACCAACAATACCAACAACCACATGATCAAGTGAATTGCAGCGGAATAGCTGCGCTTGATTGTGTTGGCATAACAAAAATGAAAATAGTGGAAAAAAGCAAACGATAATTTACAAGGCGTACTTAGCACGGTGCATAGGCAACTGGCTGAGTCAGCGGGATCGTCGGTTCGAATCCTACTGAAAGAAGTCTGATGAGGAAATGTGGTGATTTCCGAAATAGCTATCACTTCTACCTTTTTTTCAAATTGTTGTTGCTTTTCCACAATAAATTTTCATTTAAAAAACGGCCTCGAGCTCAATATAAATTGTTGAATATAATTATTCTAAGGCCAAAAAAAAATAACAAAAACAAATAAGAAAAGAATAATAATGGCTTACTAATTTTAAGAATTTTTTCATCCAAATACGCAAAGAACTATTGTTATATATTTTTAATCAATAATTCGATTCATTTCAAAGTATTCTTTTGCGATCCAAATACGCAATGAGCTGCTTAGCCCAGTATAACTACATAGACCAAATTGGTACGAAGAAAACAAAAAATTTGTAACAACGATTTTTTGGTGCAGTTTACTTGTATTTGACACGTAGATCAGAATCCACTATCTTGCCCTTAAATTTCATATGGCAACATTCCGCCGTCTTGGATTTTAGGTTTTTTTGCGATACAAAGCTTTATAGTACAGTTTACAATGATTAGGTCTTAAAATGATCACATATACTACGTTTATACGTAAGCTATTTGCAAATAAAAATAATTTGCAAATACCTAACTCACTGTTTATTCGATGGTGAAAAATTCTTTTTAATATTGCCTGATTATAAAAAGGCAATAATATGACCATCGAAAAAGAAAATAAAGTTAAAAATGGCAACGTCTTGATTATAAAAAAGCAATAAGATGACCATCGAAAAAGAAAATAAACCTAAGAATTGGCGGCGTCTTGCGCTTATTTGCAAATAGTACCACTAATCAATACTTATTTGCGTGATTTAGTTATTTGCAAATAAAAAATTAACTCGGCGTTTATACGGAAAAGTTTACCATTTTGCAAATTGTTATTTGCAAATAATACGTGCGTATAAACGCTGTAACTGACGCCCCACCGCGTTAAAAACAGTGTGGCCTTTAAAAAATTCAACAAGGCGTCTCAAATATGGCATCTAAACTAACCGTAAATTAGATTTTGCTTTACAGCTTTTGTGCCACCGGAGAACCCCACAGAAAAAATAAAAAGTTATGTTTTTGAGGTTGCTGATTAGGAACCTAGAGCATGATTTCAAAAATTCGTAATGGTGAATCCAATAGGGGGCTAAAAAATTAAAATTGATTCGTTCCGCTTAGAACGTTTTCCTCTTGGGTTCCTGGGCCGCTTATTACGAATCTGAGGTCAGAAATGGCAGAAAAAACATTAAAGTCGATCCGTTTGGTTTTTGGGGTTGTTGATTAAGAATCTGAAGTTAGATTGGAAAAACTCTAAATGACGGACCCAATATGGCTGCAAAACAAATTTAAATCGATTAGATTCGTTCAAAAATTTACAAACAAGGGTTCTTAAGGTCTTTGATTACGAATCTAGAATCGGACTTTTAAATTCAAATGGCGGATCCATATTGGAAAAAATTGAAATCGCGCGTACGTACCTGGCGTATCAGTAACACTTTAGTTAAAATCTGATCTGTGGTGCGATTCACTACGCGATTTTAACAACTCTTGTTATTGTTAAGTCAGCTAAACGACAATTTTAACATTTTTATTTTTAATATTTTTATTGAGCTTTGTACCACGATTGATTATTGGGAAAAATTGAAAAAGCAACAAAGTCTAAGCGGTAGAAGTTATAGCAGCTATTTCGGAGATTACCACATCTCTTCATAAGACTTCTCTTTTTCTAGACTTTTGCAGGGATCGAACCTGCGTAATCGATGTTCAAAGTCAGAGGCGTTAACCACTGAGCTATGTACATCCCGTAAACTCTTGTTGCTAATTCATTTTCCTTATTCAACCAACTACTATACTGTGCAGCTGATTTGCCGCTATTTAAACTCGACAGCGTGGTTGTTGTTGTCAATTCTATACATCCATTTGCTTATTTGCTTCTTTGTATAGTTTTAGGCAGGCTCTTCCTAAACTATGTATTTGTCAATGTTATTGTGGCTTATTAACATTTTTATTTTTGAGCTTTGTACCCCAATTGTTTATTAGGAAAAATTGAAAAACAACAATTTTAACAATTTAGATATTCGGTAAACGTTTCCCTAACAACATTCGTTAGCGCCAAATCAGTAGTAAATTCAATAGAAAATAATTATATGTGCATAAGGAGTTATTTGGCTTCCGATTGTTGC